CTCTGAATGGTTGACAGTGGTAGCCAGGCACTATCTAGTTCTTCTGGTCTCATAGTTGTATAGGCTGAGGATTGTATGGTATACCAGTCCCTTGGACTAATTGTTTCCATGCATCTTTGGTTTTCTTCATTCTTCTTTGCTCTGGATGAGGAGAGACCAATCGTTGCATCTACATGGCCACTTGCAAGCTTTTAAGGTCCTAGTCACTACTCACCAAAGTAGGATGTCAAACAATGTTTTTGTGTAGGATGTTATGCCAATTGAGCTTAATGTCCCCTGTGACCATGGTCCCAAGCCCACAGGTCCAACTACTTGCTCCCTCTGGGTAGTGGGCTGTGACTGCCAGTGTTTTTATTTAAAAAAAAAGAAAAAGAAAAACCAAACTCACTGCCATCGTGTTGGTTCCAACTCACATTGACCCCTCCTTGGGTTTCTGAAGTGGTATCTCTACAGAAGTAAATTGCCCAGTCTTGCTTCCGACGAGTGGCTGGCGGGTTTGAGCCACCAGCCTTCTGGTTAGCAGTCAAATACCTTAGGCACTATGCCACCAGAGCTCCTAGTGTTTTTATAGGCCCTGGTTTTGTTAAATTTTCTGGTGCTTTAGCTACAGTATTGTGGTAAATAGTATTTCTGAATCTATATGAATAACTTTTTTGAGAATGAAGTAGTAATTAAAAGAAGAGAAGGAGAAAAATAAAGAAAAAAAAAGCCTCCACTCACTTACTAATAATGTGACTAATAATGTTGCATTCAATGTAGAAAGATTTTAGAAAACAATTTTGTTGTTAGTATTCATATAATCTAAGAAATACTATATTTGAGCAATTTAGAACTTTATCACTTATTATTCTATGACTGAAATTGATAATAAATATTATTAAGGATTCTGTATGGTCTAATATGGGAGGATGTCCATGGGCAGGGAGTTACTGCACTGGGTGACACCAACCCTAGTGATGCCACTGATGGGTGTCATGATTACCCCAGTCCAGGGAAAGTAGTCAATCCAGGGAAAATAGTCAATGACTGAAATGGGGGGAAGTGATTGCCTCAGTCCAGGGAAAACAGTCAAACGCCAGACGACAGGCCTGAGTCTTCAGTTTAGAGAAAACAATCGATGACTGAGAAGCATGGACATGATGCCTCAGTTCAGAGAAAACAGTCTATGACCCAGATGGCTACCATGATCACTTTTGTGCAGGAGAAACAGTTGATGACTGAGTGGGGCACCATGATCTCTCTTCAGTTCAGTGGAAATAGTCTATGATCCAGATGGCTACCCTGGTAACCTCAGTTCAAGGAAAATAGTGGAGACAGAGATGGCAGGCCTTGATCCCTTCAATCCAGTGAAAACATTTGATGGCTAAAGTGAGGGACCATGATTGCCTCAGTGCAGGGAAAAGATGATGAAGATGGTGGGCCATGACTCCCATAGTCCAGGAGAAGTAGGCTGCACTCCAGATGACAGTTGTGATTGCCTCAGTCCAAAGAACTATCCTTCTACAGTGATAGCCTCAGTCCAGGGTAAACAGTCTGTGACTGAGATGGCAAATCTGACCCTTGACAGCCTCATATGTGTCAGAATAGAACTGTGCTCCATTGGGTTTTCAATGACTGATATTTTTGGTGGGGGGGGTGGCTTTAACAAATGTATTTTCTTACAGTTTAGGAGGCTAGAAGTTCAAATTCAAGGTGCTTGCTCTAGGAGAAGGCTTTCTCTGTCATCTCTAGTAGAAGGTCCTTGACTCTTTTCAGCTTCTGTTCCTTGGTCCTTTGGAGATCTTCATGTGGCCTGACATTGATCTTCCCCCATCTCCGCTTGCTTGCTTAATCTGCTCTTCTATATCTCCAAAGAGATTGATTTAAGACATACCTTACACTGGTACAAGGAGTTCTGGTGGCATAGTGGTTAAAGCATTTAGCTGCTAACCAAAATGTCAGCAGTTCAAACCCACCAACCGCTCCAAGGGATCAATGGCTGATTTTTTGAAAATAGGTCGCCAGGCCTTTTTTCTGAGGTGGACTCTAACTGCCACCCCTTCAGCTAAAAGCTGAACATGTTAACCATTTGTACCACCCAGGGACTCCAACTCTCATTGGACTCCAAGTGTCATTAGTGCCTCCTTACACTATATTCTTAACATCTATCACAAGTTTTGTTAGAGAATAACTAGGTGGAAAGAGTGGCTGTTAATGTATAGGTCTTCCATTAGACTGTAAGCTCCAGAGATCAGGGAAAGTGCCTTTTTCCCATCACTGTGTACCCAGTATTCACTACTATGTTTGATACAAAACCAGGGTTCTCATTAAATAGTCAAGTAAATGAATGGATGTGTTCAGGTGGGATAGGTGTGAGCAGGAAGTCAGTCAATGTCACACTATGGTACCTATGCATAGAGGCAGGGCTTTGTCACCCTCTGTTTACCCCTTTCCCATTCCCAGGAGCAAGCCTGCAGTTTGTCTGTCAACAATCTCTGATGCCATGATGCAGATTCCATGAGACTCTGAGCCTGGGCAAGAATTGTTTGCTTTCTCACCTAAATGGTGTGCTGTGGTTCAGAGCAAGCATGGCATAGATCAAGAAGCAGCCTAGGGAAGACATAATGAAATAGAAGAGAGTAAAATTGAGGGTGACCGTGTAGAGGTTACAAACTGGTCCATAAGCACATACGTGATAGCAATGAGTCTGAACGTGGGCTTGGAAGACAGTCTCTGGCTGTGTCTGCAGGGCATGGTTCACAGGGTCTATGGCACCATTCAAAATATAGTTTCCCCAAGTACATTCCACACCATGTTAGTAAGGACTCCACCAAAAATGTTCCTGAGGTCCATTAGGTTTAGGAACTACTTGGTAATTGCAGTGTTTATAGTATGCACTGTCATCTCTAGGAAGGAGCTATACTACACTGTACCTCAAACTTATCTGGCCAGATTCCTTTTCTGGAAAAGAATCTCATGGAATAAATGCTCTTTCTCTCTCTCTTTGAAAATGCTAATTTGCTGGCCTGATAGAGATTTGCCCAGCTAGGTAAGGCCCTGGGAATGTTCCCAAGTGTATAGTGACAGCCTCTATTCTGACGTGGGTTCTATCTTAAAAACAGAAATAAATAAATAAATAAATAAAAATCCAGGCCTTGTGTGGTGAGGCCTTTATAGCCTGCTGATTAGCATCTTGAGTTGGTCCTACTGGGTCTCTATAGGGGACATCATTTTTCTGAAGAGAGAAGTGACAACAATGCAGATTATGACTCAGAAGCAGTAAATAATAAAGCTGTAAAAATGATA